TAGAATTTGATTTCCCCGAAAATGTCATAGGTGGGCAGTAATAAAAGCTCAGCCGTCCGAATAAGTTGACTTTTTTGCATATCATTTCAACGACTTCCTCCGCCGAGTCCCCATTTCATTCCAAATAATTTCCTACCCGGGCCCATCATTTACAATAATGTCTACGTAAAATTAACATAAATTTGCGATTTTCCCCGCAGCTTAGACGAGGAGTTCGCAACAAAAACAAGAGTCAAAGAAAAACAAATAAAACGAGGAAAAGCTGCTGGAAAAGCTAGGAAAAAGCAAAAAAAAGCGTGAATCGCGCCTTGAAATATGCTAAAGTTGACAGCTTAAGGCCTTTTGCGAAAAAATAAGCGGCTACAAACTCAAGCTGTTAGGATTTATGTGCTTAAGGTGAAGTGACCTTAGAGGACTAGATATTGAAATTGAAATCTGGAAACCATGGCTGGAGGGTGTTAATGACAGAAGCAGTTTAAAGCCGTTCTCTAAGAATGGAAGCCAATTTCTTAGCCCTTGACTCCCGTCTCAAAGCCTATTTTCACCTAAAAACACACATTGAATCGAATTCGAATTGAGAATTTGACAAAATTGATGATTTAGCTTGGAAAATGACACATTTGTTTACGCCTAACTTGCTCGAAATGGCTCGAAATTACAAGCCCAATGCTCATATCAAATTGTTTGCCGAAGCCTAACTTTAAGTGCTTTGCAGCAAGCTCAATAAATTTCGCAACTTACACCACAAAGAAGTTTTCCCAAGAACTCGAAACTTGTTTTTCCTGTGGCCGGAGTCGGACTCGGAGCCGGAGCCGAAGCGAAGGGAAAATAATTTCAAGTGAGCCAGAGAACGGAATTACCAAATTTGCTTTTCCGACAAACAAACGAAAAACGTGAGGATCCCTGGCAATCTCTCTATAGATACGAATACCCAAACCCATGTATCCATATGTGTAACTACAATGTAACTACTTCTGCTACTGGAAATCCCCCTACGTACCATAATCTTCATGTCTGTTTGCAACTGTTTGCACTGACAGCTCGGGTGGGTTGTATTTTTTATGCTTTTTGTCTGGTTTCGGGACTGTGTCAGAGCTAGGTTAGCCATCCCCAGGCCCCCACTTCACTTGCAGTGTGAAAATTACAGAAGATTGCATGTGCTGCCGCTCGGAAAATATTTATATATTTTATAATATTTTTTTTTTTTTGTAGCTGTCATTGGGTCGTGTTTTTTGGGTTTCATTTTTGGGGGTAACACAAATTACGGTTTGCGAATGGCTGTTGAGTGGCGGCATCGCCTGCGGTTGGCACTGGCTAATAAATCAAAATAATATAAAATTCCCTGTGAAGCCTATCAAGAGAAAACTAGGGCAGTGGGTGGATAGTTCTAATTGGGGTTGGCCAAAAACCGCACAATCATGCAGCGATACTCCGCCTTAAAACACGTTTTTAGATGTGCCTTTAAAAAGGTAGCTTATATCTTTAAAGGAAGGACCTTTTCAATCTTCTATTAACAGAGAATTCAATACCAATAACCGTTCAATCATCGCGGCTAATCAAGTGTTTCAAACGGGGAGCGAATGTGTCCGCCAATGGCAAATGGAAATGGCGGTGCCCCCCGCTTCTGTAAGCCAGCCTTTGACTTCCAGCTCTAGCCTTTATGCATAAGGTCCCATAAATCACTTGCAAATTACCAGAAACAGCGGGAGTGTGGCGGGGGCCATTCCACGGGCCTATAATAAGCAAGCCGAATGCGAATGTGGCTATGACTGTGACTGCGAATGCACAATTATGGCCGGTTCGTTGCTCGTAAAACAAGGAAGGACCCGTTGTCCTCTGCCGCCTGCTGCCTCCCGCCACTGGCCACCCACTGATGACTTTGTCATGGTTTCCTCGGGCTCGAAAGCCAAGGCAGCGGTAGCGACATCAATAAAATAAACACTGACAGCGGTTCGCGGGGCGCGGGGGAGTTGGTAATTCATGGGCGGCAAAAGGGGGTGCTGGAAGCCAGGAAAGAGGAGGCTGGGCCTGCACAATTGAACACGCGACATTTGGCCAATGTTTGCTGTTTGTTATCCACGGAGTTGTCTTCGCTGTCTGTCGTCTCCACTTTGACTTTTATCTATTGACATAATATTTTTTTATGCCCTTCTAGCCAAAGGCGCTTCCTTTCAGTGGGCGTGTCAGTACCACACTGAAGAAAAACCTATGTAACCTAGATTATTTCTTAGAAAGAGTCTTGGGAAAGATGATTTTAAAGCATTATTTTTCACATCTTCATAAAATATTTACCTTGAAAGTTTTCCAAAAGTTTTTACCCAACATTATAACTCTCCCTACAAATAAATAAATAAATGCTTTTACTCCAGAAGTCAGAGGTACTTTTAAACATCTTACTTCTCCATTTTTCCTTGTGTCTGGCTTTGGCTTTCCACTCCAGCCAGAGAGTCCCTCAACGACTCTTTCTATCCAATGGCTTAGTGTTGACGGCTTTCTCAGATTTAAGGGATCCATTTGCAGCTCTGCAGACGAGAAGATTCAATGTCATTAGGACTGGGAACAAAATAGATTGAAACGGAACAGAATAAAGGGAATCGAAATTGAAAATCAGTTGAGTACAATTTTAGCATGAAGAACTTCTAAAAACGCTCCTGAAAACACACTCGCCCTGCTCTCGAGTTTAACAATATTTTTATACCCTTGCAGAGGGTATTATAATTTTGTCCAAAAGTGTGCAACGCAGTGAAGGAGACATCTCCGACCCTATAAAGTATATATATTCTTGATCAGGATCACCTCCTGAGTTGATATGAGCATGTCCGTCTGTCCGTCTGTCCGTCTGTCTGTCTGTCTGTCCGTTTCTACGCGAACTAGTCTCTCAGTTTTAAAGCTATCGACTTGAAACTTTGCACACACCCTTCTTTCCTTTGCACGCAGTATATAAGTCGGAACGACCGGGATCGGTCGACTATATCCTATAGCTGCCATATAACTGATTGATCGGAAATGGTATAACTTTGGTGTTTTTAGAGTTAGAAAGTTCTAATTTAACATGAGAGCTATTTTTGGCAAAACAATACGACGTGCCAAATTTCATAAGGATCGGCCGACTATATCCTATAGCTGTCATATAACTGAACGATCGGAAATGACCCAACTTTCGTGTTTTTGAAGATAGAATGCTGGAATTCCATACAGATTCTATTTTTGGTCAGTTGATCCAACCTACCAAATTTCATAAGGATCGGCCGACTATATCTTATAGCTGCCATATAACTGAACGATCAGAAATGGTATTTGGTGTTTAGTAAAAATAACAACTTTGTTTTTTTGACGATAGAAGCTTGGGACTTTTTTTAGATTTTGTAATTTAATTAATTGGTTTTATTATAATGTAATCATAAGGATCGGCCAACTAAATCCGATGTTTGCGATATATATCCGGTTTTAACTGCAAGGGTATATCAACTTCGGCTCCGCCCGAAGTTAGCTTTCCTTTCTTGTTTTTTTTTGCTTCAGCTATCTCCAACGGCTATTCGTTTTTAGCATCCCACAAATTTCTATTGTTCCAACCTTTTTTAAGACTTGAGTGCCGGTTCCTGGACCCGTTTTGATTGCCTTCCATAGAAATAACGAGGTGTGCACGTGTTCCCATTCGCCCGTGCCCTCGCCATTCATTCATCTGCGAGGATGCTGCACTTTTTATGTCCCCGCCACACAAGCCCGCGGAGTGAAAGGATGTATCCGGCCATGTCAGTTTATGCAAGTGTTAAATAAAGTATCCGCTGGCCATTGTAGTTTATGCCCAGTTCAGCCGAGGCGCTGACATTTATTGCCTGCTTCAAAACGGCTTAGAAAAGGACCAAAACAACCAAATGGCCCGGCAATGGGAACATTTATTACGGCTAGGACACATATAACAAGAGCGGCGGACTAATAGTTGTTGGCCATACAAATGGAAGGTGAAAACATGTACTACTAACAGCCCAGTCCTTCAACAACCTTGACTAATATTTCCATACAACCATAACTATGATTCCAATTAAAATACCTAAACTAAAACTTTAAAAGCTCACCTATAAGTTATTTAAATTTTGTTGTTATTTTTTTAGTCTTTCATGCACAGAACTTTCGCAAATAAAGCATTTTATTGTGCCCGTGGGATTGGTAATCCACACAAGCGTTATAAGTACTCCCACACCTTTTGCGATCCCAGGCCCAATCCCTGGGAAATCACTTAAAAAAGGAGCTCCTACGGGGTTTCAGAGGGGGAAGGGAAGGAGGATCCAAAAAGAATAAAGAGTTTCAGGTACTTTTGGTCCAGTCCTCGCAGCATTTCAAATTAAAAGCATTCGCCGCGTTTTATTGCTGTGCCTGCATTTTTCCCTTATACTTTTCCGCAGCCGACTACTTCCTCTTGTAGGACATACAAATTTTTATGTCCATTTGGCTTTATTTCACACTTTCTTGTTTATTATTGCCGTTGTGCTCCTGGGCCAGGACGGGCCGGAAAAAACTCAAGTATTTGACCTTTTTCGCTCATGCCCTTCCACTTCTATGCCCAAAATAATGCTGTTGCCATTGATTTATGCAGAACGAGACTTTCGTGCTAACCCTTTTGCCACTCTGTCTTCTCCGTTGTCTGGCGTTGTCCTTTATTCGACTTAAATGCTAACTTAATTGTTGTGCCAGTGTCCAGAAAAGAGGCAATTTACTTATTTTATGTGTCCTCCTGAGCCAGCGAATCCCGACCCTCCCAGGCAGCATTAAAAAAGTGTGGCAAATCAGGACCTTCCATTAGAACACTTAATTTAGCGCAAAATGATTAGCGACTAGCCATTTTCGAGAAAAGCCGCGAAGCGTGCCCTGATTGAGTGAAAACGTAAGTAAACAGAGTCCGCACTAATCAAAAACATGTAAGCAAATTAGATAATAAACGAAACAATTTACTGAGCATTATGATGCGCTTTCAAAATTAGAAAATTTGTAAACAAGTTACTTCAATCAGTCCGCCTCCTTTTCGGCCTAGGAGATACCTGCTCGTCATCATCCATGCCCGCATAGCGTTTACCAAAATTATAAATAGTATCAGTAGTATCAGTACCAGTATTTGAAGGACTGCCCAAGGCTTCGCGTAGCTCCTCGCTGTCTTTCGAGGCCACAAGCTTCCATTTTTTCTTATTCAAGTGGTAGCAGTTTACCACGCCGCCGGTGTACGAGTCCCGCGACGAGGAGTGATAGATCGCGCGAAAGGCCAGATCGTAGGCTTCCTCGTCGCTCATCTCGTATCTATGCTCGGAGTCCAGGAGCCCCAGAGCACACTTGCTGCCACTGCCCGCGGCGAAGAGCTTCCCTACTACGCTCAGCCCATTGGAGTCCACGTAAGCCAGGCTGGGGCCATCATCCGTCCAACCTGCCAAAATAATGTTCATAGAAAGGCCCATTCCCCGGTACTGGTAGCCGATGTTCCCCAAAAATCTTGCGGCCGACCTCACTGACATCCGCTGCTTGTGCCGCAGCTCGTAGAGGCGGACCTCGCGGGTGAGGACACGATCCCAGTAGGTGCAGTCCGCTGCTCCCCCGGCTATGGTGCTCAGCATGTAGTCACTTATCGGCACCACCTTCTTCATGCCATGTGATCCAATGTAGCCCCCGGCCGTGGCCCGTGAGTCCACGCACATCACGATGCCGCCTTGGTAGATGAATGCTAGAGTGGTGGTGCCATGATGGAAGTCCATGTCCACCTTGCCGATGGCCGCCAAATGCTTGAGTGTCTCCTCGGGTCTGTCGAAAGGTGGAGCCATCAGGGTGAGGGGGTTTGCCATGTTGCACGAAGCTCTTTTGATCTCATCGCGAGCCTTTTCCAGGACTAGGGCTCCGCGGCTCTTCATAAACGGCCACTTGTTCATGCCACTAATTTGCTCCAAAGCCATATTTAAAACTATTTTGAATTTTTATGTGTTGATATTTTTAAGCAATACTGTTGATTGCTTGAGGTGTGTTTTTATACTGAGTCGGTAGAACATGTTCCAAAGCAAATACTTTTCTAATCCTTTGAAATAAAAGGCATAGCTACATGTCCTTAATTTTCATTTCTTCTGTTATTTCAAATAAATGTACGCAGAAATAGCTTTAGTTATTTATGTGATGGCATTTTAAAAATGTGACAAAGTGTGCATCCCCAAATCCGCCTAAGCGGAACTCAATAAAATGTATGCAATTTTGTATTTACAAAATTCTTGTAAAACATCCATGGAGCCGGCTCTCAGGCTTTCGTGCTCCGCCATGTTATTCATTTTTGGCAGCACTTCCCCATGTGCAGATTAAAATATGTTTGCGTTGGGTTTTATGAGTTTTTCCGTATTTTATGAGGTGCCCAGGACTTGGGCCCAAAACGAGAGCCGAAAATTGAATATTAAATAACCTCAAGCAGTAAACAGAATTACAATGTCGGAGTGTTTGTGGGAGGGCTGGGTAGTTGGTTGTGTAAATTGTTTATGATATTAATATCCGTTTGTTTGTGCAATCATTTAAAAAGGATTACACGATTAGCATCGTACGACGACAATTGAGAAAAGCCTAAGGCGAGGCGGAAATTGTCATTTGTATTAATTTTCTCCACAACTGTCACTTCTTGTTTGGTTCGAAATACGCTTCAATGAAAAGCCATCAAATTTACGGGATCTCCGCTTTTTGTGCCGAATTGAATACTCAAACTCCCCAGTTTGAACATGAACCTCCTTATTTCACAAATTAGGCCCAACATCCTTTGCCATTAACAATCTATTAGCCAAATTGCTGGGGTAATCAGTTTTAATGTTAGAATCGAAGGTTGGCTCGGAAATTGGTAACATTCGAAATGCTAACTGCCTGTCAAAGGTTAAAGCGTTGTTATATTGCCAAATTTGCTCTTGACCAACGACGAAGGCGACAAAAGTGGGCGGCTCCGAGCAGGACCACATTGTCAATCAGGAAATTCCTTGAACACAGCTATGGTTTGCCCTCTGCCCTGTTTCCCTTGTCCAGTTCCCTGGGCTATTTGCCAAAGTCGAAAACGGCAAACACTTGGCCGGGCCTACGATTTGGGTTTTGGATTTGTGTTTGGGTTTGCCACCTGACCTAAGCCTGCTGCTGCTGCTTCCAAATTTATGCATTGCAGTTGACTTATTAGGGTCCTGCCCACCGCTTGTATCCTTTCGACCCCCTGCCTCGTCACTCCAGCCCATTGTGCTGTTGATTCGCTTTGATTTGCCCGGGATGCCCCTGAGCTGGCCAACTGTGTATGTCAGACTGGCGCTTTGCAGTCGGTTCTGGCCCTCAAGGGTAGAGCTCTGGTTAATAGTTGCTAATTATGTTTAATTATTCAAGAGGGTAGCATAGGGACTTTACTGTCTAACAAGATGGTGAATACCATTCACCAGGAAAACGAAAAGAATAACAAATAGAAACAAGTTTTATTTAACATCCAATTTTAACAATTTTCAATTAACAATTTTTTAACAGTTGACGCTCCAAATCAAAAGTTTAAGTACAATTTAACAGCTAATATGAACATTTTTTAATAGAGAAATAGTTTGCATGATATCGGTATCCTCTCTAGAATCTGTGTCTTGGCATTCTTTGGCATCATAGTAGACTGTCTCATTTCCAGTCGTATTGAGAGTTTCATTAATAGTCTCATTAATTGTCTCATTAAGTGTTTCATTTAGTGTCTCATTAAGTGTTTCATGAAGTGTCTCACGGTAAACATTAACATTAATAACTTTCGAATTTAAAAAGCCTTCTTGTTTGCCATTGTGATCACTGTTTTCAGCTTTTACAGAGTTTGGGAACGTTCTTCCACCCGTTTTCTTTTCACACGAATTATTCTCTTCTAGGTTTTCTTGGGGTGCACTATATTCAGTTTTTTTTAAGCTAGGAAACTTAGCTAAAAGATCTTTTATTTCCGTTCGAAGATCATTGATCTTACTGTAGTTGACTGTTTTATTCTCAATGACATAACCATACCCCAATTTCGGTTTATCTTCACACGGATTGTATACTCCTTGATTGCCCTTGGATTCGGGTTCACGATCCTGCAATATAGGTTCATCTTCAAACGGATTCTTATCTACTCCTTGGTTTCCTTTGACATAACAATATTCAGTTGTTCTATGGAATTTAAGAAAAATGTCCCTTATATCCCTTCGAAGATCATTCATGCTGTTGATTTCATTCATTTTAATGATATTCCAATAATCAGCATTATCTGCACACGGATTCTCAACTCCTTGATTGCCCTTGGATTCGGGTTCACGATCCTGCAGTATAGGTTCATCTTCAAACGGATTCTTATCTACTCCTTGGTCTTCTTTGAATTCACAATATTCAGTTGGTTTATAGTTGGGAAAGTCATGAAAAATGTTCCTTATTTCCCTTCGAAGATTATTGTACCTGATGTTGTTGATTTCATTCATTTTAATGATATGCTCTAGTTTAGGATTATTTCGACGCCGATTCTCAATTCCTTGATTGCCCTTGGATTCGGGTTCACGATCCTGCCATATCGATTCATCTTCACTCAGATTCATTTTCAATTCTTGATGAGCGTAGGGCTCCCTATTTTCAGTTTTATTCGAGTTAGGCAATTCAACTAAAAGCTTAATTTTTTCGTCTTGAAAATTGGAATTGGAATTATGATCCCGCAAAATTGCATTATCTTCACACGGGTACTTATCGACTGTTTGAGTTTTTTTTGGTTCACGATCGTGCAACATAGGTTCATCTTTACATGGGTTTTCTTTGGGTTTACGATACTCATTTATTATCTTAAAAGAATCTTCCCTTACTTGCTTTGATATATCAGTGATATCATTGTAAGTTTCACTGCTATCACGATACACCACTTCAGGTTTATCTTCATACGGATTCTCAACTGATTGATTGCCTTTGGGTTCATGATCCCGCAAAATCGATTCATCTTCACACAAATTCTTCTCCACTCCTTGATTTCCTGTTGGCTCTCTATTTTCAAATTTATTTGAGTTAGGGAAAAGTTTAATTTTTTCCTCTTGAAAATTATTGTTCTCACTATTGTTGATGACTTTCTCTTCAATGTAATTATGATCCCGCAAAATTGCATTATCTTCACACGGGTACTTCTCGACTGTTTGAGTTTCTTCAGGTTCACGATCCTGCAACATAGGTAAACCTTTACACAGATTCATCTCCAATTCTTGATTTTCTTTTGGATCTCTATTTTCAGTTTTATTTGAGTTAGGGAACTCAACTAAAAGCTCAATGGTTTCCTTTTGAAGAACATTGACCTCACTGTTGTTAATGACTTTCTCTTCCATTGAATTATGATCTTGCAAAATCGCTTCATCTTCACACTTATCGACTGTTTGAGTTTCTTTAGGTTCACAATCCTGCAATATCGGTTCATCTTCACACGGATACTTATCTACTCCTTGATTGCCTCGGGATTCACTATTTTCTGTTTGATTTTCGTTAGGAAACTTAACTAAAAGATAATTTATTTCCTCCGGAAGATCAATAATCTCCCTGTCTTTGCCATAGGACTTCATGCTGGAATCCTGATGTGATATAGTAGACTTAATTTTTGTTATGTGTTTTGTGTCATCTTCTAAGTTCTCAATTATCTTATATTCGCTGTTATCTAACTTCTGCTCTATGGGTTCAGGCTTTTTGTCTAATTGTCTAATTGTTTTCAACTTTTCCTCCATGCATTTCTCCAACATGAAGATATGTGCTTTTTGCTCTTCAATGTATTCCCGATCTTGCTCCATCGTTTTTAGCGAGTTGTTTATTGCAACGATTTTCTTTTCGATCCAGACCTTTGCTTTTGGCAGGGGGACGTTTTCAAGTCCCTCTTTTAGATCCACATTTACAAATAGAGTGTCCTTCAGTTCTCGGGTCAACTTAATGTACATTTCGCAACCGCCATCGGAGATTTCTACCTTCAGCTTATTTTCCTCCAACATGGTGTCAATCATTGCCAGGGCCCTTTCCCAGACATCCAATTCAGCATTCAGCTTATTCCTTATTCCCCCTAAAATTGCCAACCAGTGGTCGTAATCGGTTCGCATATTGTTTATTCCTTGGCGAATCTGGTTACATTCGCTTATTTTGAAAACTTTGGTTTTGATCTGCAGCTTAAAAGCTTTTAAGTCTTTGAAAATGGCCTCCACCAGTGGAAGACATTTTTCGAATTCCATTTTAAATTTTTTTTGACGATTTTCTTTTTACTGCCTTATACTGACTCAGAATGCTCTTTACAATTCTAATGATGAACAATTGCTTTCACAAAACACACGAGCTACTTGGATCTCTCAAGGCACATTCAATTCTCACAGAAATATTTCCGCTCAGTCAAAAGCGTTCATTAAAGTTAAGGGAGCAGTTTTATATAAGAGGGCACTCTCCGGGCAGACTAAACTTGAAACACGGCCCACCTTAAAGGACGACAGTTGCTCCCAAGGAGCCCCAAAGTATCCTGCAACAATTCATCGCTGGGACAAGGCTTTTAATCAAGCCAAGGACTGCTTCACCCACACACTTGCAGACATTATAAGTGCGCCCGTGCACTTGTATGTGTTTATATACGTGGGTGCATAATAATGTAAGTTATGCACATGTGTGAACGCCCAGGCATTCCCCGGTGGCACAGACAACATAATCACATGCGTTGCTGCAATTTCCGTTGCCTATTTACTGGCGCTGTCTCCTTGGACCGCCCGATGATATATCGCTGCGATTCGCAGGCTGTAAATTCAGACGTTCAATGCGAGTAGAAGCCGGGAATTTGACATTTACTAATTGCCAGATTATGCAACACACACTGAGCAGTTGCAGATTCTGAGACCAGATACAGTATCTGCTGCCATTCGATGAGCTGAGCCAAAAAAAATGCTCTTCTTATGCATGTAGCCTGCTTTGCAAACATTTGAAATTGGAACGGGTTAAGCTGCTCTTAACTTTCGAGGAGCCGGAGACTTTTTCCGCTCCCAGGAGGAGGACTCCTGCAGTTGTCATCCGCCTATCGACGGCATTAATTAATCAAAGTTGAGCTCTTCAATCGAGGAGAATTCCATTCGAAGGGCTTCCTATCTTTCAGCAGTTGATTTTTTGCTTCTGCCAGCTGGAATATCACTTTGGCAAATTGAAGTTGCATTGCTGTCTGCCGGTCTGTTGTCTAGTTGTGGCATATACGACATGCTCATGGCAAGTCATGCATATTCATTGTTTACAATCACAGAAACACCCACCCACAATCCATTGGAACAACTTTACCTACTTTTTCTGAGATTCCCATCTCCCCCACCTGTTTTCAAAATCAATGATGCTTCATAGATAGTTGTCATGGTATTGTGCTTCCTTTTCCTAGTTTTCCGCAGAAGCCGCCTGAAGTTATTTGTTTTTGGCAAATTACTCGTTTATGTTTTTAAGCAATTAGTTTGTATGTACACTCTGTAAAACAAAAATTTCATGAATACCACAATCTAAACTTTTTACAATAAAGAACAAAATGTATAAACTTGTTAAGTCTTTCTCGCCATTCTTGAAACATACAGTCCCAGTCCCGAACATCTGTCTATTCATGGCCCTTGAGTATCTCGAGGATTACACACATTTATTGGCAATTACCAGATACAAGGATATTTGCATATCCGTCTGAAACACAACCTGTGACTGCTGCTCTGTTTTCAATTTATATTTATCTATTGGCCTGGACATCAATAAATTCCTTGTCGTAGAACCCATAACAATCATAATCTTCGATATAATTTCCACTTTATGGTCTCTCTGCTCGAGGGCGATAAAAATTTACACATTGATGTATTTTTATGGATAAAAACAGAAAGGGAGAGTAAACAAATAAACAATGAGCAGGACATCAAAGAGCAATTTGAATGCAAAATGCCCAGGCTCACATGCTAACCATTTTTGGCATTTTCTCGTTTGTAATGCAAACGCCTTGAATGTGTTGACAATTCATTGTCCCCCCTGGCCCACAAAGACAAAAGATTGTCCCCGAAAACACAGAAGACGCAAAAGCTACAGAAAAGATACAAGAATAACATGTAATTTGACAAAATCCATAAACCATAAATTGTTGGCCTAGCCAGCACTAAAAATACCCTCCCATTGTCTTGCCTCTGGATCTGTTTCCCCCGAGAAAACTGTCTCGTAATCGAAGGCAATAAAAAGAAAACCAGAAGCGCATAAAATATTATCGATGCCAGTGCGAGTAGTTGACAACTCCGGCAGCCGCATAAAAATCGCATGAGCCCATAAATCGCCATCAGCCGCCGGCAATCAGGACTATTATGTTAAATCAACCCAAAAGGACACCAGCCAAATCAGTGTTTAATATGTTAGTATCTACTTTTAGGCATTTGTCATGAAATATACGAGGATCTGTTTTCCTAAATGGCCAATTAGTGATCCCAGAAGCAAACTTCTAGAACTAAAAGCGCAAATGAGCTGCAAATCATAAATTCCAGCGGAATATATCACAATTACTTTAGGCCAAAGGGGGGTTTTACTGAACACACTGGAAACCCCTTAACCCAAAAAGGACACCCTTTCTCAGCCTTTGTTACTAGGACTGCAGATGAAAAGAAAGCAGGAGACAGGAAGAAAGCAATGCTGCAGAATTTAATTACACAGTTAATTTGCTTAAATGGTTGACGGCTGGCACAGCAATTCGAGTGTTGACAGTTCCCGGAGTTGAAGCACTCACTCCGGCATACTCCTCCGAAAAAAGGATGAAAAGGAAAACACCGCACTTTTTTAGGGGGCTAAGGGAATCCCTAGTTTTTGCCGGGAAACTTTGTTTGATTCCAAACACTAGGCAAGGGGAAAGGCAAACATTTCGGTTTTGGCTGCATCAAACACATGCAGACAGCTTGGGCGTTGGGCTCCGGCTTTGGCTTTTCTCGAAGCCACCCACTGAAACCACTCAAGCACCCGGCCTGCACCGGTTATTAAATTCTGTGAGCAGCTCCCTCGTGTCCTTTATGGGGATATGCGGTAGCCTAGCTCATAGTTTACCGACTAACTTGGCCTAACTAAATTTCGGAGAAACTTGGGGCGCAACTTGAATCCCAGGGCTCAACGAAAATGCGATTAGAAGTCACTGAAGTTCTGGCAAAGTCAGGGAGGGATATGTAAAATGAATGGTTAACAATTGAATAGGCAATGCAAATATCAAGGTAGCTAGAATACCTTTTGTTTAAAGAAGAAGCTATGATATATCCAACGCTTTAAAGCCTTTTTGGCTTTAAAGGAATCTCTTCAGACCCATTTAACCCCCAAGAAGTGTTTTAAAAACTGAATCTAATCCCAACGAGCACGTCAGAGTAGCAGCTGCCCCTCCAATATTGAGTTGTTACAGCTTTGGCAAAGTCATAAACCTGAATCCTGTCACTCCGTGTCGTGTCCTGTCTTCCGTGTGCTAAGTTTTCGGTTCCCGGTGTGTCCTTTGAGTCATCCCTCGTGTTCGTCGCACCTGTCCGGCAAAAGACACTATTTGTGCACGCCAGCACAATTCAATTAATGGACATTCAAATGATATAAACCTGCTGAGGCATTTTTAGTGCAGTCTCCCAGTCGAGTGCTCCGTTTCATTAGCACGAGCTGAGAGTGAACTGATGTAGTGCCAGGGGATGCATGAAAACTGGACAAAAGCAAACACAAGCCCCCTACAATCATACCCCACCCATTGCCACGTACAAGCCATGGCAACTGGAACACGTGTCAGTGGCCGAAAGGCAAACAACAGGTGCAAGGAAAAAAATAACACCCAACACAACAACCGACTTAGTAACAGAAACTAACTCACACCTAGAGAATAAAAGGGGTTGCTTTATTTTTAGATTTTAGTTATGGAAACAAAGTAATATTATTTGTAGAATCAGAGAAATCAGTTCCTAACTAAGAGTACTTATTTCACCCTAAACTAACCAACTATCCTTTTGCTGTGTAGAAATCCACCCCTGTAGGGCAACCTTGTACTTTGGTTGTC